AAAATATAGACTCCACGCACGGGTTGATTTTGGTATTATTATATACTAAATATATGTTTATAACATATTCGATAATGCGAATAATTGGTAAATTCCGTAATTATAAATCTCAAACAAATTCTGTAATTAGATTAACTCAAACAAATCTCTATTTCAACAACCAAAGAATTATGAATTGAAAAAGAATTTTCTAAATTAATTCAAGATAATACCTAATTTTCTTAATTAATTCAAAATAATCTACTCTCTCTGTTTCACAAAGAGTGTCATTTTAGAGTTTTGCACACAGATTAAGAAAACATTAAATTTTTTGTTTTTTCTAAACAAAAACATCATTAACTATATACCTAAACATAATCTGCACAATAGTAAAACAATCTGCAGAATACTAATAGTCATAAAACATAAAAAATCATTAAATTTTGCATTGAAAACCTAAAACGACACTCTTTCTGAAACAAAAATAAAACCTTAAAACGACACTCTTTGTGAAACAGAGGGAGTATGTTTTATATGCGATTTATTTATGATATTTTAATTTTTGATCTAACTGAAACATATGCAATCCTATTTTGTTGTTGTTAACATAAATTAACTCATTGTTCAAAAAATATTACTTTGTAAAACATAAAATTATTTTCCGTTTTCATATCTTAAAAAAAAATTATCCATAATTGAGTATTATAGAAAAAATTTCTATATTTATTCTAATATTGTATATAGGGACTGACAAAAAAAATTAATATTTGTTCACTTACTATTATAATATACTATGACTCAGGACCCCCGCGATATCGCGGGGGAATATATTTCAAAAATCATTTAAAAAAATATCAAACGAAAAAATCATAATAAATTGTAATAATTTTGAATTTTTTAATAGCAAATCAATATATATTTTACAAAAATTATGATAAAGAAAACCCTCACAAACATTTATTAAGTATATTAATATTAGAAAAACAATAATTTGTAACTAAAAAACTATTCCCAAGTGCAAAAAGCATAAACTAATAAACCAAATATTACAATGGTTTGATAAATAAGCAAAAACGTTCAACGTCAAATAAACCAAATGCTATTGTGTTAAATTAAACGGTAACAGCAATTCATTTAGATATATTTTAGTTTTAAAATATTTTTTAAAAATATGACGAACTTATCCGAGAAACGCAACCGTAGATATCAAATATTCCAAAAACTGCAACGGTTCGTCAATTATACCAAATGTTGCAATAGTTCATCAAATATACTAAAGATAACAATGGTTCGTAAATTTTTCCGCATATACAAAGATTTGAATTTTTAAAAACGAATATAAATTGTTCAATGTATGAAAAAACAAATTTAACGGGTCAAAAATTTATATTTGAGTAATATATTCTTTTTTTTTTAATATCATCAATACTTAATAGATCAAAAAGTTAAGAAATATACATACTCTAATTTGATTTTTTGAAACAAATATTTATAATAGGCGGCGGGTTAGATATAATGTATTATATGATGAAATGAGCTATGATCCTTATAACTATTTGAATATTTATATCTAATTTCATATATATATATATATATATATATATATATATATATATATATTTTTAAATTCATAATTTTACATACTACAATAAAAAAATTAAAGATTTTAATTTGAAACATTTAAAAAAAGTTTAATTTAATATATTAAAGAATATCATAAATATTTAATAGATTAAAAAGATAAAAAAATTATAAATACAAATTTGATTTTAAAAAGATATGTTTAATATATTTATAGTAGGTGGTGGGTTAAAAGTAATGTATTATATGATAGAAAGTTATGATCCTTATAATAGACGACATTTTAAGATTTATGATGAGATGAGTTAAATAAGGTTTGACACTTCTAAATATTTGAAAATTTAATTCTGCAAGCAATTTTGGAAATAATGAATAAAAGATTGTGCCACAATATTTTCATAGGGATTGTAAACTGAAAATATAGACTCCACACACGGATCGAGTTTGGTATTATTACATACCAAATATATGTTCATAACATATTCGATTATGTGAATAATTGGTAAATTCCGTAATTAGCTCAACCAAATCTCTATTTCAACAACCAATGAATTAGAATTTGAAAAAATAATTTCCTAAATTAATTCAAAGTAATAGCTAAATTTTTTAACTAATTCAAAATAATCTACGTTTTAGATGCGATTCATTTATGATATTTTGATTTTTGATCTAACTAAATTATATACACTCTCATTTTGTGGTTGTTAACATAAATTAACTCATTGTTCAAACAATATTATTTTTTTTGAAAATAATATTATTTCCCATTTTCATATCTTTAAAAAATATATCCATAATTGAGGATTACAGAAAAATAAAAATATATTCATTCTAATATGATATATATATGGACTGACATAAAAAAAATTAATATTTTTTACTTACTATTATAATATATCACGATTTTATTCTATAACTATATAATATATAAATTTCGTAATAAATGAAATTCAACCCGTACTGTAGTACGGGTGATGATCTAGTAATAGTATAAAGTATAAACCAATATCAAAATCATAGTAATAATTAATAAAAATAATATTGCATAGAAAAAATATATACCAAATTTATGAACGAGAAAACGAAATATGTATAAGAAAAAACACATTCATAATGCTCTCTTATCGCTTTCTATCTTCACATCACGAGTCCATGCACCCGTGACTGCTGCCCTCCGTCTGCCGTTTTCTTGGGGTACACTTTTT